TGTTCGTGATAAGGATGCCAAAAATCTTGCTGCTGCGAAGCTCTCGTCTGAACAATCTAGTGTGGATGACCGTGACACAGAATTACAAAATTCGTGTTCTAATATTTCTTATCATGAATCCGATGACGATCTGCCTTTGACTTTACGAAATAAGTATTTTATTGGAAAAGATGGAACTAAGTGGGCACGAAGGCCGCCAAACCAAAGAGTAAGAACTTCTAAAGTAAATATTGTTGTGGAAAAACCGGGTGTTATAGGTGATGCAAAAAATGCTAATTGCATATTAGATGCATGGAATTTATTTTTTACTAACAATATAATTGAAAATATAGTAGCATGTACTAATATATTTATTCAAGTCAATATTCGGTCAAAATTTGGTAGAGAGGGATGCAAGATTTACGAAAGTCCAAGAAATGAAAGCTCTTTTTGGTGTGTTATATATAATTGGTGCTTTGAAAAATGGTCACAGAAGTACAAAAGATATGTGGAAATCGGACAGCTGTAATATTGACATACTCAAGTGTGCTATGTCTGAAAAACGTTTCTTGTTTTTATTGCGTTGTATCAGATTCGACGACATACGTGGACGAGAAGAACGGAAAAAATTAGATAAAATGACACATATAAGAAAAGTATTTGATGATTTTACTATGAACTGTAAGAAATCGTACGCATTATCTGAATATGTCACTTTAGATGAAAAGTTGCAATCATTCGGGGGTCGTTGCCCCTTTAGGCAATATATGCCGAATAAACCGGCCAAATACGGCATAAAAATATTTGCGCTATGCGATAGTGTGAACTGTTATACGTCCAATTTAGAAGTATACGTAAGAACACAACCTGCCGGTCCGTACTCAGTAAATAATTCTGCGGCGAGTATTACTAAACGTATGGTAAATATAATTTACAATTCTGGTCGAAATGTCACTATGGACAACTGGTTTACAAGCATTCCCTTGGCAGACGATTTACTGAAAAAAAAAGTGACTATAATTGGCACAATTCGAAAAAAACAAGAGAGAAGTCCCTCCTTCATTTGCATCTTCAAAAAACAGATAGGTTTTTAGTTCTTATTTCGGTTTTTCAAATAACAAAACTTTAGTATCATATAAGGCCAATAAAAATAAAATTGTGATATTGATTTCTACAATGCACCATGACAAACAAATAGCTCAAGTGAATAAAGAAAAACTAAAACCAGAAATAATTATGGACTATAATAGAACCAAAAGTGGAGTTGATACAATGGACTATATGACAGAAAACTACACCGTTGCCAGGACAAGTGCACGTTGGCCATTGACAATTTTTTATGCGTTGATGAATATTGGTGGAATAAATTAGCAAATTATTTATCAAGCCAACACAAAAAATAAAATATCACGTCTTCAATTTCTAAAGACACTGGGAAGAGAAGTTATGGAAGAACACGTGCAGAATCGTATTACTATTCCCGCTGTCCGGATTGAAGTTAAGTCGTCAATAAGAAAATATTTCAATGTTCAACAACTTCAAGAATCTCGAGTAAAGGCAAGTGGCAGATGTTCATTCTGTGAAAGATTAAAAGACAGAAAAACAACAAAAGTCTGTACAACGTGTATAAGACTTATATGTCGGGACCACCTAATTAGCGTGTGTCCAGACTGTTACGCAAGTGTATAATGTTATTTATTTATGTGACCTTCTAAATTGTAAATATTATTATCATGTAATTACCTATGACGACAGCTATTATACGAAAATTATAATACTTATAAATTATACGAAATATTCTTAAAAAAAAAAAGAAAAAATGTTTTTATAATCACTTTGTATAATGTAAAATCTCTTTGTATACCGCCAACATATTTTATATACTGAGAAATGTAAAATAAAATGTTTTCATAACAAAAAGTTACTATTACCGAAAATAGTTATATACTAACCATAAAATAATAACTAGCTATCTTTGAGGGGTAAATTTTTACCCTATACGCGTAAATGAGATATCTAAACCGTGCGCCGTACGACGGGTTAAAATCGATACTTATCTTTGTGAGTATAAACATGATTTTATTAATACGTATTATTACGTATATAGTTAAATTATCCAATAAAAATTGGAAATTGAATGTTTGATTTCCAATTAATATAGAAATATGAATGCAATATTGCTTTAACAACATTAAATAATTATTGTATATTCAATATTATGATATTATTGAATAGCTGTTAGAAATTCAATGTTTAATTTCTAATCAGTAGAAATATACATACAATATCGATATAACAACATTGAATTGTAATTGTATTTCCAACATTATGATAGTATTGAATAGTCATTAAAAATGTAATATTTAAATTCCAATGAAAATAAATGTCTATGCAATATTGTTTAAAGAACATTGGACTTATATTACATATTAAACAATGTATAAATATTGAATGCATCATTTTAATTCAACATTAAATAATCAATATGGAGACAATATTACGGGAATATATACATTTTCAATTTGAAAATAAATGTTTATTTAATCTTAAATTTACAATATTAATTTATCAATGGACAACCAATATCCATTTAATATTGGCATTGCAAAATTGCTGTTTGGGGACTGTATAACTAGTGTACCTAGTCTATAAAATATAATACAATATAAAAATATAAAACTAGCACGGAGGGCTAGTAATAATATAAAATAATACATATTATTATAGTGTTTAACTTGCAAACTGAACGTACCACTATATTGTGACATTACGTTTTAATTATTGATTATTATTATTTCATCGGTATCACAATTAACTGGTTTAAAAACTAAAATCCTTTATGTCTGAAAAGGGCCCCCAAAATATGATAATGGGGCTCTTTGGGAGTGCAGTGCACCCCCAGCACCCCCGCTAAATGCGGCGCTGCATATCAGAAGCATATTTTATGCATATAAATCCGGTCCCTAATTATAACTATTAAGACTTAGATGCTGTTACTATAGACACGTGTCTACAGGTCTTGCCTGTCATGAACAGGCATGACTTGTAAAATTTGATCAAACTTACAGTATAAATATCAGTACATAATATAAACTTTTTTATTTAGATTCTGAACGGAGTGATGAATGTATTGAATTTACAATGATGTGGGTGTGTACAGAATAAGTAGTCGAAATAATGCTTCAATTTCAAACTTCGGGGGTGGTTTCCGATGGCAAAGTGAATATCCTTGGTGCATTACCCAAGTAACACATAGATGTTCTTAATATATTATAGGAATATTCATAAAGAAGACATGTATTATCCATGGATTATTCGTGATTGTTCCATATATGCTCTACAGATCTGCTCACAGTATTCAAAGCTAGCAAAATGAGCCGATTATAGATACTCTTTGAATATTCTATCTTCTCCCAGACAACAATTTCATAATATCAATATTATTATAACATTAGTACTTGGTTAAATTAAAAATATTATAATTGTTACATTATAATAACATTATTCCATGTTTAAAAAAGTAATATTCAATCTAAAATATTTCTTAAATCTGCTATTTAAGTTTTTTTTATAATATTTAAATTGAAATCTAATAAAAATATTATAATAACATGTATTTTTTAACATAATATAATATTTTTTTGCAAATATTCTTTGTATATTTTGAATGTGTTAAATTTACAATATTTTGATTTTAATTTTTAGTAAACATTTCAAGAACAATTTACAAACAATCTAAAATAACATTTTGTTTTAAATGTTCTATGTGCATTTCACATGAATTATATTAATAATATTTAAAAAATGCCTTTATAATAAGCTGCAGAGGACGCCACACATCTGACAGATTTTGTATGTTGTCTACATCTAGTTCAAACAGAAAATTTACGTTCAGCATATCACGTTTAACTCCGTCAGTTTAATATAATTAGAGGGAATTGATCCTTTATAAATTTTTTATTAAGGGCTTCTCATTGGCTTTTTATTATATTTTAAATTGAAAGCGATTTATGAGTGTTTTAAAATTGTAAATTGTTTGTACAAGTTAAAATATTCATAACTAGCATAAAAATTAAAATATAATAAAATGCCAATGAGAAGTCATAGATAATAATCTTAAATTTAAATTTTATAAGAGATCAATTCACTCAAATTATCAAACTAACAGAGATAAACGTGATCTGCTGAGAGTATAATTTGTTATGTGACGCGTTTCATATATAGTCTGTGGTAAGACGAAGACAACACATTACACAATGTGGATGTAGCGTCATCTTAAATAAGCTAAAATACACTATTATTATACCACGCCAATAATAATTTATAATAATATAATATAATATATTTTAATGTTATTATAGTTATTATCACGATGTACATCGTGGTTATTATATAATATTTATATAGTATGATTATTTTATCATATTATTATACTATGCTATGCCCCCATAGAGCTATCTATGGCTTAATGGCTATGCCTTTGTTTATATTATATTATTAATAATATAAGATAATTATCATCACGCGTCGTCGTTGTTATCGTCGCTCGTCGCCGTCGTCATCGTACGTTACGTCGACTGCACGTCTCGATTATAATACTATTCCAGTGAAAAACTTATTTTACGTCTAAAAATAGTTTTAAACAAAATCCAATCATATCATTGGTTGTGACATTTGGCCAAGTGGCGAGTACATGACGCTGTCTAATGATTTGACTTTTCATTTACGCATTACGCAACGCTTATAATATTGTGACTTCTGATTTCTGAATAGTGAATTCCGTCGTTACTTTGCATTTTGCCGTTACTGCGTTCCTCTTTTATTTAAATATTTAATTGTGTGCTACTGCAGGTGGTTCGTCTCATTATACAACTACAATATTGTGCGTCTTTTTAAAAGTAAGTACCCGTTTTAAATATTTGTATTTAGTACCTAGGTGGCTAGAACACTAGGTAGTTCTCTACCATTATTGGTAGGTACATAATAATAACTAATGTATCCTTTAAGACAGTGTTTCCCAAAGGCTGTCTTGAAAATTTGGATTTTTAATTTAAACATCGTGTGCCGTGATTTATAAAAACTAATTTTAATGTGCCACGATGGGTTGGGTATGCGGTACTGCGGTCTACCGCTCGTTTTTATACTTCATATTACATATATGCGATCTATTATATGTGCCATATTATATTTACCTACCAATTAAAATATGAATAAATACGAATAAATATAAAAATAATAATTTAAATTTAGGTAATGATAGTAAAACATAATTTCATAGGTACCTAGTTCAATAACAATTAACACAAATACATAAATTGCACGTTATTTTTATCTAATTATCTACCAATTTCTAATTACAATAATTTATTTTTTACTTATTAACATTACCTAAGAAAAACGTTTTATTATTATTTTTAAAAACTAACTAAAATAATGACGTTAATAAGGTTAGAGTTAAATTGTTGTCTGTGTAAATATGACTAGGTATTTGATACTTACATGGGGTAGGTTATGACTATAGTATGCAGTAGACTGTTTATGACTACAAGAATACTAAAAAAAAAATATTTTAAATCAAAATAATATTTATAATTATTAGTAACTTTTTTTTTATTATTACATTGAACATTGAACAATATAAAATATCTTAATTAGTTATGTCTCCATTTTTAGTTAAAATATAACTTTCAATATTAGTTTATATATTTAATTTTAATTGTTTTAAATCAAGTGATTTTTTTATATTGTAATCTTTTGGTATTGTAATTAATACTAATTATGTTGTATTGATAGTATTATTTGATGTGGTAAATCTTTATATGAATTAAAATGTTCCTGATTATAAATTTCCATGTATATATTTGTTAATTGTTGTCATGTTTTTTCATGTTTTTGAATTTTAGACTTGGGCTCTTTCATGTACCTATCTAATTTTCAATACTAAAAGCTCTGAAGTTGTCAAGAGGGTTGTCCTGTGGTTGATTATATATAATATTAATATATATAATTATATAAGGTATATAAGTAGGAACCTAGCTAATTAAAATCACATTTTTAAATATTTATTATATAATATCTTGTGTGCCTGATTAATAATCAGTTTAATAATATATTATCAATTACTCAAGATGATTAAAAGTAATCGTT